AACCTGAGCCCATCATGCTTATCTTACCCCAAATGTCACCTCATCAAAAAGCCTTTCCTTGCCATCTGTATCCTGTTAGTGTGTTCATGTCTTCATCAATCTTGCCACTAGCTGAATAATCAATTAAGTGATGTCCTGGCTGCCTTTTACCACCCTTTCTCCTCCAAATTGTAAGCTCTGTGGATTCCACGCCCATGGACTCTGTCCTGCACCCCCAGCCTGAGATTGGTGCTTGGCACAGAGCAGGAACTCTGTGCTAACAGTGGGATTACCGGCAACATGTCATCCTGGGGTACACATTTGACTGTCCCTTCCATGTGCAGGGAGCTTCTCATTATGGAAAATATTGATATTGTTTACATCCATTACCCCGAGCTCGATAACTTGCTCTGGGGGCAACAGCATCTCCTCAGCACTCTCATCCTCCAAAAGGTATCATTTACCGAGGAAGAAATGAACATTCTATGTTCACTGATCATTATGCCACCATAATGCTGAAATTCTGTGCGCGCCAAGCAGATGCTGGATGTGAGAACTCATCTTATGTGGTGTCCGTCAATAACTGCCTCGCAGGACAGATGCTGTAAAGAGCAGGAGTGATTCTGTCCACACAAGCCCACCTTGGGTAGATGTGGGGATCTGTCATCAGGGCCGTGCACATCTAGCCTTTGGAATCCAACTAAAAAGCTAAAAGTGCACATAATTAAAAGTGGGCACCACTACAGCCAAGCAGAGAAAGTTAGTTACCCACTCAGAGAGGCATTTTAAAGACAGTAGGCATGGTCTTACACAGTCCCCAGCCTGTGGGGCCAGCACGGGAACTGATGGTATTTGACTCAGAAGACAGGAATCGGTGCCCTAAATCAGAGCATCCTTCTCAGAGCCACATCTTGTCACATAAAGGGAAAGGACAAAGGCTGAAAAGGAGGGCCCTGTTTGGCAGGGTCTCTAAATAAAACCAGGTTCTAATAGAAAAGGGCTTATAACACTGATACTAAATGAAGGACATGTGATTTTAAAATAAACCCAAGAACCAGAGCAAATATAAAAAGAAATATGTGCACTTCGTTCACCATGGCCTGGTTCCGTTAAACACCTTAATTTCCACAGGGCAGCTTTCTACCAAGAAGATATGTACTTATTTTCTATCTGTGAGGCCACAAAAAGCCCAGACTGGAAGCTTCAAGAAGAGTCTTTGTAAAGCTGGTTAATCCAGTCAAATTGAGTTAATGGCTACAAAGGAATGGATGGGATGGGTGATTTACTGTTCAATAATGAGCTGTCGATATAGGGCAAGGAGCAGCTTTGATCCTCCAGGCAACCACATCACAGCAACAGTCCAGGTTCAATTGATCTCTCAGCAATTAACAGTAAAGGAAAGAAAAAGACAGATCTGACCGGAAATTGGTGTCTCCTGTGTCCAGTGGAGAGGCTGACAGAGGGTCTTTGTGTGTGGCCTTGGAAGCCAATTGTGCCTAGAATGGTGACACACCACAGAATCTCCAGTAATTTAGATCCTCTGACAATTGAGACTTTAATTTGATTATGAATTCATGCTGAGACAGGTTTGAAACCAGGATGTACAAGTCACATATCATTTAAACCTCAAGACCATTTATACAGGTTTTCACCTAAGCTTAAGAGTGAACTTTTGATCATATATCCAATTCTAGACATGAATCTAAAAATATTGATACATTGAACTATTTAAATATTGTAGCCTTTTATGTTTCAGAAAACCCCACCAAAAATAAGCAGGGGAAAGAATTGCAACACGTGACAAAGTTAGTGTCCTTAAAATAGGAAGCTTGCTTACTAATCAGTGAGGAAAGAGTTCACAGAGAATGGACAAAGTCAAATGGAAATTTCATAAAACAGAAAATAAAACCGTTCAATACAAATGTGAAAAAAATCAGCCTCACTTGCGGGAACAGAAATGCCAGCGAAAAGTAACAATGTTATTGTTAGCAAAACTTAAAATGGCTGATCAGAGCATATTGCGAGACAGCTCTAAGGAATTCAGGACATATGACCCCAAAATATGGCCTTTTGTCATTTGAGAAGTGTAGTATGAGCAAGAAGATCACTCTCACGTCTCCTTGCCGCCCCCCCCAGGTTAATCATAAAAGAATTATCTGTGTTCCTGTAAAGTAGGTCCTAAGACTCGTTCTAGAGATACCCTCCCTTTACTCAAAGGAGAGAAATGTCCTTATCTCTGAAGACACCGGGACTCAGAGAAGAAACTGAAAAGCAGGCCCCGCTAAGTCCCCCCATTTCTTGCCATTAGAGCACACCCCTGTGCCCAATCATACTCCTGCACAACTGTCCACTCTTCCTCCAAAAACAATTTAGCTTAAAAATACATGGGTTTGGTTGGGCTCAGTGGCTCTGCCTGTAATCCCAGCACTTTGGGAGGCCAAAGCGAGTGGATTGCCTTAGCCTGCGGGTTCGAGACCAGCCTGGGCAACTTGGCGAGACCTTGTCTCTACAATAAAATAAAAAATAGCCAGGCATGGTAGCGTGCACCTATAGTTCCAGCTACTGGGAAGGCTGAGGCGGAAGGATCGCCAGAGCCTAGCAAGTCAACACTGGGGTGGCCGTGAGTGTGCTATTGCACTCCAACCTGGGTGACAGAGTTAGACTCCAACTCTTAAAAAAATAAATACATGGGTTTACATCTGGGCACAGCAGCTCACCCCTATAATCCCAGCATTTAGGGAGGCTGAGGAGGGAGAATTGCTTGAGTTCAGGAGTTGGAGAACAGCCTGGGCAACACAATGAGACCTTGTGTCTACATAAAGTCAAAAAATTAGCTGGCAGTAGTCCCAGCTACTAGGGAGGCCAAGGCAGAAGGATCACCTGAGCCCAGGAAATGGAGGCTGTGGTGAGCTGTGATTATGCCACTGAATTCCAGCCTGGGTGACACAGACTGGGACTCCAACTCAAAACAATACAAAACAACAAACAAAACCCGCTGATTTCCCCATTTCTTTGGGTTTTCCTTGCCAAAGGCTTTTGGGTCATATAAAACATCTATTAAATAATTTGTGTGCTTTTCTCCTGTTAATCTGTCTTTTATTACAGGTGCCTCAGTCATGAACCTTGCAATGCACGAGGACAATATATCACTTCTCCCCCCCCACAGGCCTTCTGTTCAATATCAATGTAAATTGATATATCATTTGTGGAAAAATAATTAAAAGAATCCTTAGAGAATATATCAAAATGTAAAACATTCACACTCTCTTATTCAGCAATTGCACTGGGATTTAGATTGAGAAGTAATTACACACATGTGAAAATATATATACACATAGATCATGGACACTATTCACTGCTGTGTCCCTGGTGCCTAAAATAGTACCTGGTACTTTGTAGCCATGCGATCATGTTTGTTGAATGAATAAATGAAAGATGTTAGAAAGTTTTTCACCAAAAGTTTCACGGTGGTGGAGTGCTAGTAATTTTTTCTTTGCTCCTTATATTTTCTCTTCGCGTTGTCTTCAAAATGCTTTTTTGATTTTTACAAAAATAAATAACATACTTAAAATTTGTGGTCAGCACTGGGTGCGGTGGCTCACATCTATAATCCCAGCACTTTGGGAAGCAGAGGCAAGAGGATTGCCAGAACCCAGGGGTTCGAGACCAGCCTGGGCAGCTTAGCAAGATCTCATCTGTACAATAAATTTAAAAAATTAGACTGGCGTGGTGGTGTGCCCCTGTAGTTCCAGCCACTTGGAAGGCTGAGGCAAAAAGATCACCTTAGCCCAGCAGGTCAAAGCTGTGGTGGCCGTGAGCAGTGTGCCACTACGGCACTCCAGCCTGGGTGATGGAGTGAGATTCTGACTCAAAAAAAAAAAAAAATTGAGGTGGTCAGTGGGTAACATCTTGCAAAACTAGAGCCCACTATTATAAGTAGGATATTGGTATTGATGTAGTCAAGATAGAAAATATTTCTACCATCACAAGAAATCTTGATGTTGCCTTTTAATAGTTACACCTACTTTCCTGTCTTTCTGCCCCTCCTTAACCTCTGGCCACCACTGATTTATCTGTTTCAGTGGCTGTGTAAACAGGTTCACTCTTTGGGAAAACCACTTGACAATAAATATCCCCAAACCACAAAACCCTTCCCTCCTTTGTCTATCCATTCATTGGGAATTTATGCTAAGGGGGAAAATGCAAAATATGAAGTGACCTATGCAACAAAAGCATTCACCTCCATTTTTCTATTAGGAAGACAAAAACCCTGGCCAACCTAAAGACACCTCTAAAGAGAGGAAGAGTAAAAATAAATTACGGTAATTCCATTAGACGAAATTTTATGTAGCCATCACCAATTCTGAAGACTGCGTCAACATGAGCAAAAGAAGGCTGAGAATTCAAGCATGTCATGATTCCATGTATGTGTAAATGGCATGATGGTGCTGTTGTATCATGACGGTGGAATCCTGTGTACTGTTTTTTCTTCTTAAAATTGCAGAAAGATTGCCCTGCAACATAGCTGTTACATGAGCTTGGTTGATTATGTCCCCAAATCTCTGTGGGCGAATATGACTACCTCATAGCATTAAGATGATTCAAATGAGATGAGTAAAAGAGTAAGGACTCCTTGTGGTGACTGCTTCTATCGTTGCTATTATTATTCTTATAATGCTTTCAATTTTTTTTTTTTTTTTTTTTGAGTTGAAGTCTCACTCTGTCGTCCAGACTGGAGTGCCGTGGCCGCTCCCAGTCACGGCAGCCTCGACCTGCTGGGCTCCGGCGATCTTTCCGCCTCAGCCTTCCAAATAGCAGGAATTACAGGCATGCGCTACCACGCCCTCGATTTTTTTTTTTAATTGCAAGAGGCTGTCGATTGCAAACAGAATGAAAAGTAAAATATATAAAGGAAAGGAGAAAGATTCAAGAAATCTAGCTTTTGGAGTTGGGCCCCACCCACTCTGGGACTCAGCGGGGGCGTTCAGCAAGGAAAAGCCGCCGGTGACCACATGGGGGCGCAGGCGCTCAGCGGGGCGAGACGTTCCCGGCGAAGTCCAGCAGGGGACGCTGCCGGCGGCGGCGGCGGGAGCGAGACCGGAAGCCGGGCCGGAGGCGGACGGGCGCACTCGTTGACTCTTCCGCTTCCGCTGCTGCAGCGGGTCCGACCCGAGAGTCCTGGTCCGCTGAGCCGTCGCTTCACTGCTGTCTCGCCGCCGCAATGCCGCTGGAGAACCTGGAGGAGGAGGGTCTGCCCAAGAACCCAGACCTGCGCATCGCGCAGCTGCGCTTCCTGCTTAGCCTGCCGGAGCACCGCGGGGACGCGGCCGTGCGCGACGAGCTGATGGCGGCCGTCCGCGACAACAGTGAGGCCCGCGCGGGCGCCGAGTCAGCGGCCTAGGCCTAGGCTGGCTCCACGCTGAGGAGCCGGCGGGGATGATCCTTGGTGGAGCTCCAGGCGTCGGGCGTCCTTCTGACGGGGTCTCCGAGGCCAGACCTGGCTTCTCTGGCCCGTGGTGCCTTTTGTTGGGGATGTCCTAGGGAACCCTGTCTCACTTTAGAGGAATCTGCCTCTCTGTGGGCCTCCCCTTCTGAGGCCAGCTTGGGGGAGGCTCCCGAGGTGTTTATCCCGGTGCTGGACACAGAGCAAAGGCGCAATGACTTGCTGTCATTGTGGACTGTTCCTTTACAGGGGTCTTCCTGTAGGAGAGTTCCTGTTTTCTTTTGTCCTTCTTGGCAGCGAATGGCGCCTGGTAGTGTCTGTTTGAACATGTGTATTTGAGTATGTGGGAGTAAACAGGCTTAACTTTCCCCTTGTTAGAAGACTCTGGCAAGAGCAAGCCAGGTTTTATCTTGCCCTAGCCCTAGTAGAGGTTGACAGCGCTGGGATTGGCCCTCATGTAGACCTCCCACCAGCAAACGTTTACATTTTTCCAAGTTGAGCCCTATCCATTCTTTCCTGATGGTGGGGAAGAGCGTGGTGTGACTTCTCTCTCTCTCTCTCTCTCTCTCTCTCTGTGTGTATATGTGTGTGTTAGATTCAGGGGAGGTGGCCAGACACTTCAGGGCACAAGTAACTGCGCTTGTATGACCCTCCTTTTGCATTTCAGACATGGCTCCTTACTACGAAGGCCTGTGCAAATCCCTGGACTGGCAGATGGACATGGACCTTCTCAATAAAATGAAGAAGGCAAATGAAGAAGAGCTGAAACGTTTAGATGAGGAGCTGGAAGATGCCGAGAAAAATCTAGGAGAGAGTGAAATTCGTGATGCAATGATGGCAAAGGCCGAGTACCTCTGCCGGATAGGTGACAAGGTGAGTGAATGTGGTTGTCCCTTTCTGTAGTTAGTATAGGCTAAAACTGGGGACTGCTCCTGATGAATAATATCCCATTTAAAAAATTAACTTCCTCCTTTAAAAAGCACAAAGGGCAATCATGCTTACCTGGATCAGTGAATCAATGTAAAAATGAATAAAGAAAAAACTAATAGTGCTCTTGCAGTGCCCTATAACCTGTCCCCAAGCAACAGGTAGGTGTGTATTCTTCCCCATTTCTCTCCATGCCAATAAAAACATAAGCACACAAAGATGTCTGCTTATTGTTCTTACAAAATTGGGATCTTTTTCAGTAGTTTTCTCACTTGGTTGGGAAGCATTGGTTCTGATGCCTTTCCCAAATTGTTAGTAATATTTTCCTTGTAAGAGATTAAAACATTACAGTAATTGCTAAAGTTTCATTTCTTCTTCCTTTCTGCATACATACCCAGAGAAAACCTTCATAGTTTTTTTATTGTGCATTTATATGCATATATGTATACCTGTAGAAAATCGGTCATATTTTTAAAAAATGTTTTATGTACATGGGATCATATTGTATTCATGTGGTCACATTTGTCCTTTTCATTCATTACATTTGCGATCTCTTTCCATGTTAATATACGTAAATTTTCTCATTCTGGTTAACTGCTTCCTACTATTCCACTATAGAACTGTACCATAGTTTATTTGCCTGTGCAGCTATAAATGGACATGTTTTGTGTTCAGCTGTTTTTGCTTTCACAAACTGCTGTTGTAAAAACATGCTTGTGTATTTCTCCTTGAGCCTGTATACTAGTGTTTCTCTACAGTCTGTGAGATAAAATTGCTAGGACAATGGACAGATATCTTTTTCATATTTCAATAGCTTTAGGAGGTACATATGGTTTTTGGTTACATGGATGCATTGTATAGTGGTGAAGAAATCTTGGCTTTAAGTGTACCTACCACCCCATCTGAGCACACTGTACCTGATAGGTGATTTTTCATCCCTCCACAACTTCCTACACTCCTCCTTCTGAGTCTCCATTGTCTATTATGCCATTCTGTATATCTTAGCAGATACTTAATTTAGCTTCCACTCATAAGTGAGAATATGTGGTGTTTGGTTTTTCATTCAAGTGTTACATCACATAGGATGATGTTCTCCAGTTCCATTCAAGTTGCTGCAAAAAACATTTCATTCTTTTTTATGGCTGAATAGTATGCCATGGTGTGAGTGTGTGTGTGTGTGTACACATACACACATTTTCGTTACCCACTGATCAGCTGATGGGCATTTAGGTTAATTCTATATCTTTGCACTTGTGAATTGTGCTGTGATAAACACTCCGAGTGCAGGTGTCTTTTTAATAAAATGACCTCTGTTTCTTTCAGTAGATACCAAGTAGAGATTGTTGGATTGAATAGTAGATCTACTTTTAGATCTTTGAGAAATCTCCATACCGATATCCATAGAGGTTTTACTAATTTACACGTCCACCAACAGTGTATAAACGTGATGAGCAGTTTTTATTTTAACATGTGTGGCCAGCTGTTCTGCATAACAGTTTAGTTATACTTCACTCTCAGGACACCAGAGGGATACCCACCAGTACTAGATCTTTAAAGTTTGAGTAATTGTGTACTAGTGGTTGAAAGGATGGGCTTTGAATGTTCTTTCTTTTAAGTCATGCACCTGAAAATATTTATAGATAGAATGACATGGTGTCAGTGTGAAAAAAAACTGTGAGCTCTTGGATCAGATTACTTGGGTTCTGTTTCAAACTTCAGTAATTATGAAACCCTTAACTTCCTCGTCTGTAAAATAGAGATGCTGACAGTTTCTACTTAATCGCACATTAAAGATAGAGACAAAGAGATTAGACTGATACCTGTCACAAAGTAAGTGCCTAAATGTTATCATGTAATTTAAAGCAAGTCATCATCGTCTTCATGTCCATTCCCCCCACCCTCACCCCAGTTACAAATTTAAGACTTTGTCATTGTAAAAATGTGGAAAATACAGAAAAGTTCAAAATAAGTTTGTGTTTACTTCTGGGTTGTGTATATATTTGTGGTTTGGTTTGAAAGATTAATGAATTACATGTGAATGAGAAACTTCAAGTTTTTGACTCAGGGTGTGAAGAATTTCAACAAGGACATGCTTGAATTAACATTGGGGGTTATTAAATAGTGATGTTCTAATGTCCCCTCTGTGTTTTTAAAGTAGCATTCTTCCAAAAAGAACAACTATTTTTTTCTACTTTCTTCCGTTTTTATATTTTATATAATATTGGAGGCTCCTTCAAGACAGTTTTTTTTTCTTCTGATATATCTCATTGGTCTTTCTTATTTTCTGATATAAAAGATGTCACAGGCTCACCTGTTGTCTTCACTCTCCAAACCTGGGATTATCCATTTCTCCTAGAATCTCTGGTTCCTTTTAGTGGGGGACAGTATTTACCAAGATCTGAGTACTAGGTGCATCCATTGCTGTCCTGCCAGTCCCCTCTATAAATTTATGAAGCATAATTAATAATTACATAAGACAAACCAGGCAGACACATACTGAAAAGTATCATGTATAAACAAATGATTTTATTTATGTTTTTTAAAGCAGTGGAAACATTTTATTCCACAATGCTTTGGGGTAAAACTAAATATTTACAAATTCAGTTTTATTCTAATAGTGACTAAGATAAGATTTCCAAAACCCTTTAAATGGTATGATTGATAACTGCAAATAAAGTTATTGTGAAGTAGTGTATTGTAATTATTATAAACAAAATACATTGAATATATGGAACAGAGAATACTTAACAAATGTGAATAAATTATGAATGTTTCTCTTACATTGTTTTCTAGAATGCAAGTATATGCTTGAGCATTTCTTAGGTAGTTTGATAACTTATACAAGTGAAGTGAATAGTTACAATAGCCCCCTGTGTACTTATCACCCAGATTTAACAATGATCAATTCATGGTCACTTTGTTTTATCTCTTCTCCTACCTAGACAGCTGATAGCTGAAACTTTGTAACCTTTTCTCACCTATTGCTTTGGCTTTCTTGACAGGAAGGAGCTCTGACAGCTTTTCGCAAGACATATGACAAAACTGTGGCCCTGGGTCACAGGTTGGATATTGTATTTTATCTCCTTAGGATTGGCTTATTTTATATGGATAATGATCTTATCACACGAAACACAGAAAAAGCCAAAAGGTACTTTTTAGCAATGGGTATATATTCCTTCTAAATTATGCTATAAATGAGAAATTGATATAAGAAATTTGCCTATTTTGTTTACAGGTAGTAAATTTCGTCAAATAATTTATGTACTTATTTAGTAAAATATCTTCTTTGAATAACTTCTTTTGGTTCAACTTGTTAAAAGTTGTTTTCTCTTTGAAAATAACAAAATGTTTAAAAAAGTGGTATTGTCTGCTTGCACTTTGTGATCTTGCTGTTTTTATTTAATAGCCTAATAGAAGAAGGAGGAGACTGGGACAGGAGAAACCGCCTAAAAGTGTATCAGGGTCTTTACTGTGTGGCTATTCGTGATTTCAAACAGGCAGCTGAACTCTTTCTTGACACTGTTTCAACATTTACTTCCTATGAACTCATGGATTATAAAACATTTGTAACTTATACTGTCTATGTCAGCATGATTGCCTTAGAAAGACCAGATCTCAGGGAAAAGGTAATGACTAAACTTTTAATATTCATATTTAAAGACTGGTGCATGCTTTTTAAATTTAAATATGCAAAAATCATTAAAGAATCATTTAAAAAGTTTTTTTAATACGCAGGTCATTAAAGGAGCAGAGATTCTTGAAGTGTTGCACAGTCTTCCAGCAGTTCGGCAGTATCTATTTTCCCTCTATGAATGCCGATACTCAGTTTTCTTTCAGTCATTAGGTAAGGATAGAGTTGCTCATTTTGATTATCTGTCTTCATCTTAACTCCTGATCCTGTGCAAAAATAACCTAAGATAATTTTTCACATATCTGAAAAATGTAGTGTGTAGATAGCTGCGGGTCTTTGATCTGCACAGCTAATCTACAGTTTTGTGGTCAGCAAACTGTGTTCTGTTTTTTGTATGGTTCAGGTTGTGAGAATTATGTTTACATTTGTAAAGTGCTGTTTGAAGAAAGGAGAATATGAGACAGGTATGTTGCTTGCAAAGTCTAAAAATATTTACTGTCTGGCTCTTTGCTGAGGATATTTGCCAGACTCCTGGTCTAGCAGTATTAAAGGTGTGTAAGGCAGTAGTGAGCAAATGGTTCTAAGTGTTGAGTTTCATGGAAATTGGGAATTATGAGGGAATTCTGAAGCTGATTTTCGGTTGAGATTAAATGAGCCTTGAATCAGTGATGGGTTATTTTTTATGTAATAGATAAATCTTTGTGCTAATTTGCAAATCATTTTCAAGGGCTATGAATTGAGGAAATAATGTGGTGGAATACTTGACATTCCTCTAAAGCTAGTTTATAATGACCAAATCTACACAAATGTGCTTGTTTATCCTTCTTGTCCCCTTCTTTCCTGGCCATTTGGTTTCCTTCTAATGGCCACAAATTATTAAGATGATAGAGGAATTAGTTTGCATCAGGTTGGCCCAGTTGTCTTTCTCAAAACTTAAAGAATTTGGCATTGATATAGTCTCATTTATACTGCAAATTTCAGGAAGTATTTGGCTAAATAGATAGCATTCATGAACAGTGGAAGTGGAGGGCTCCCATTGATTATTGTTACATTTTTGCAGTGGGTTTTGGCCCAGTGTTTACTGAACACTTTCTCCATGTATACAGTTAGGCTGCTTTATGAGAATTCATATTACCTCATATGATAGAAACAGGTCTCTCCAGCATGGTGAGTTACTTGCTTGGCCTTATGCTCTCATACACACATGGCTGATTTTGTACACAAGTTTATATTGCAGAATTGCTTTTCTCCACTTCTTATGCTTGGGGTTTCCAGTGGTCATCACTCAACTCAAATATGGAACTCTTCCCTGCTTCTTTCAGTCAGAATGTCTTCTCTGCATTCTTGGGGCTCTTACTTTATGCCCCCTCTTTAAAAATTGAGTTATAAATTACATACCATATAACTAACCATTTAGCTATTTTATTAAAGCATAAGATTGAGTGATTTTTAGTATATTGACAAGGTAGTACAACCATCACTAATTCCAGATCACTTTCATCACCCCAAAAGGAAACCTTTACCCATTAGCAGTCACTCCCTATTCTTCATCAGAAATTAAAAATAGAGCTAGGCTTGGTGGCTCAGCCTGTAATCCCCGCGCCTTTGGGAGGCTGAGGTGAGTGGATTGCCTGAGCCCACAGGTTCGAGACCTGCCTGGGCAACTTGGCGAAACCTCATCTCTACAATAAATAAAAAATGAGCTGGGCGTGGTAGCGCGTGCCTGTGGTTCCAGCTACTTGGAAGGCTGAGGCTGAAGGATCGCGGGAGCCCAGCGGGTCGAGGCTACGGTGGCCGGGAGCAGCCACTGCACTCCAGTCTGGGTGACAGAGTGAGACTCCAACTCAAAAAAAAAGAAATTAAAAATAGAGAAAACATAAGGTATTGCTCCAGACCCTGGCAATCTCTAATCTACTTTCTGTATATTGAATTTGCCTATTATAGACTTTTCATATGAGTGGAATCAAAATATATGGCCTTTTGTGCCTGTCTGCTTTTACTTTGTAAGGTTTTCATAGTTAGGTCATGTTGTAGTGTTTATCAGTACTTAATTTTGTTTTATGGCCAAATAATAGTCTGTTTTATGGTTATACCGCGTTTTATGTATCCATTCATTAGTTGATAGATTGGGGGTTGACTATACTTGTAGCTAATATAAATAATACTGTAATGAAGATTTGTGTACAAGTTTCATGTGGACATGTTTTCATTTCTCTTGGGTCCATACACCTAGGAGAATTGTAGGATTATATGGTAGCTCTTTAACTTTCTAAGGAATTGCCAAACTTTTCCAAGGTACCATTTGATATTCCCATCAGCAGTATATGAGGGTTCCAGTTTCTCCACATCCACTACTTGGTATTGTGTGTCTTTCTAAATATAGGCATCCTAGTGAGTGTCAAGTGGTATCTCATTGTGGTTTTGATTTGCATTTCTCTAATGAGTAGTTTATGTTGAGTATCTCTGCATGTACTTACCAGCCATGTGCCCTCTTTACTAAAACTTGGCACACTGTTTTGTGATAATTTTGTCTCTTCTGCTAACTAGGATTGTATGAAGCAGATCTTGCTTTTTTTTTTTTTTAATTTTCATAATGACCTGACACCAGCACAGTGCTTGGTATATTGATCTTTCTGTGTAAATGCTGCATTAATTAAATAAATAATTTAAGGGGAAAATGCCATCCTATTTTAGTGAAATTGATAGCTTTGGAAATCTTTGGTTAAGGTATTAACCTCCTCCCACCCTCTTGATCCCTGTTAGCATCATTTTATTTTAACACTTTTGGGTGAAACTTTTACTAAGTTTATATTTCCCAGACAATTTAAATGCAGAAGACAGAATTATTGGCTCTTTTAATGACAAGGGTCATCACTGTTCATATTATTTATTTGTGTTCATATAGTGAGACATATAGGGCTTATTGAGTTTTGTAAGACTGCTTCTCCAAATATTTGTAGACTAATGTGCTTTACAGTGCTTCAGTTGAAAAGAGAAGTAGCATCCTTTTCTAGGTAATATCTGATTAATTTTAGAAATCAAAAATAAACTGATAAAACAAAAAATATATCCCATCTCAAATCCATATACACATTCACTCACATAAAATCTTTCAGAGATAATCATTTAAATTTTTTATTGTTATATATTCTTCTAGACCTTTTATTCATTTATATGCACTTATAAAAACCATGGTCATATGTACACATGGAACATTTCCAAACAATATCATATAATGAAGAAAAAAGCTTTCTCTAACCTATGATCACCAGTGTCCTTTATTTAGAGGTAACTGCTGTTAGCAGGTTTCAAGTGTGTCCTTCAAGGGCACTGTGGATGTAGTTTACATGCTGTGTTTTAAGTACCTTTTTTCTTTTCACAATGTAATGTGATTATCTCTTCATGTTACCATACAAATGGTTGGTCATTTAGTCAATGAGCATTAAGTGGCTGTCATGTGCCAACAGTGAGTTTATAGTGGTGATTGAACAAGTGGAGTCCCCTGGAGCTTCGGGTTATCCATTTTTAAGGATTTCCTAGTATTTCAATATATTAGATACACCATAATTTATCCTCTACTGATAGAAAATTAGCTTGTTGCCAGTTTTACCCTACTATAAGCAACGCTGTTTTGAATATTCTTTTTTTTTTTTTTGTGAGTTGGAGTCTCACTCTGTCGCCCAGACTAGAGTGCAGTGGCTGCTCCCGGCCACCACAGCCTCGACCTGCTGGGCTCCAGTAATCCTTCCGCCTCAGCTTTCCAAGTAGCTGGAACTACAGGCGTGCACTACCACGCCCAGCTAATTTTTTGATTTATTGTAGAGATGAGGTCTCGCCTGCCCAGGCGGATCTCGAACCCGCGGGCTCAGGCAGTCCACTCACCTCAGCCTCCCAAAGGTGCGGGATTACCTGCTGAGCCACCGAGCTCGGCTTGAATATTCTTATAATACATCTTTCCCACTTGTTATTTCCTTAGGAAAAAGGCCCCCAAGAAATTGAACTTTGCAAAGGGTAAATGCATTATATCTTGACTACTGTTGCCTTCTGGAAATACTGTTGCCAATTTACATTTATACCATTTATACTTCTCTCAATTTATAGCATTTGAGAGAGCTTGTTCTACCCTCTCCCATACTTTCAACTAGTCAGAACTAGTTTTACTGATGTTTAGTAGATCTCTTATTACTTGTGAGAATTAGCACCATTTCCAGTTTAGTGGCCATTGATCTCCGTGTTACTAAATCATTTGTTTCCTTATTCCTCCTTATCTGCTTTTGACGTTGACCATCCTTCACTGATCACCACAACTTTCTCTTGGTTCTACAGTAACACTCCTGTTTTCTCTAGACTTACTTCCTTGTCCTTTGTTAGACCTCTCAGTGACTGCCTTAGACTGGGTATTGCCCATGTCTCCATCTTCATTCTGTCATCAAATACATCTGGGTATATTTGCCTCCATTTCTAAAATTCAACTGAGCACTGATCCACCTAAATGCCTCCTTGATATCTTCATGTGGCTATCTAATGGGCAGATCCACTTAAACACTGATAAAAAGTATACTTGAATCCCACTCCCAAAACCCTTGGGCAAAAGCCAAAATTTCTGCTCCTTCTCCAGGGCTTTTGATCTTGCTCAAGCCACAAGCATAAGTATATTCTTGAGTCTTTTCTCTTGCTCATCTTCTATATCCCTATAGCTATCTCCTTGCTTGCATTCTAGTCTGTCTTTTCTATTCTTTGCTTAACCATATTTTTCCTGCCTTTGGACTTTGGCATCATTGGCAATGCTCAGTGCATACTGCTCTCTGCTTAGCCACCCTTTTCGGAGAGATCTTCCCTGTCCACCCCACCCCAATCAGTGGAGGACTTCCTGTTACTCTGTCATACTTGATTTTCTTCATAGTTGTCATTCTCTGAGATTTTGTTCGCCTGTCTCTCCCTTTGAACATTTAGTTTCTATGTTAGCAAAGATCTTGCCTTTTTGTTCACTGCCATATCCTCACTATCTAAAGCAGTGGTAAATAGTAGCTTTTCAGTATGATAATTTATATGTGTGTGTATTCCTTTTTAATATTCTATGTACTTTGTAGTGTTCAAATTTTTTCTTTTTAACTTATGAGTTATTTCTAGATCAAAGTTATTAACTCATTACAAATAAGCCTTCCAGTTTATCATTTGTATTCAGACTTGTTCAGTGTTTTGTTACATGCACTATATTTTTTTCCAGTAGGATTAATCATTCTTTCCCTTTATTCTAAATTTTTTTACCTTCGAAAATGTCTGGTGTATACCTTTTTCTGGTCTGTATAAGTCATTTGCCACTGTATATGCTGTTTCTCTGTTAGAATTGCTTGTTTAAAGCAATGTAAAATGAATTTTACTTAATTTTACTTGAGGCGTGAAGAGTTCTCTGTGATTAACATTAGTACATGAATTTTATCACCTGTGAAGAGTTCCTTTAGAATCTGGGCTCTTTCTTAGTGATGTCAAATAGCTGTGTGCTGCTGAAGTGTGATGTCCTCGTAGCTGGCCTTTCCTTTACAACTGCTGCTTCCATCACTGATGGGGCAATGTAGAGGGGCAGTGAGAAATTCTTCATTTGTTTGATCTATCAATTGAACTCAACTAGGGTTACTTATTTTTAATCTTCGTCTGACAGATTCTTATAATTTGTCATTCATTGCAGCGATTGTGGAACAGGAAATGAAAAAGGACTGGCTTTTTGCCCCTCATTATCGATACTATGTAAGAGAAATGAGAATTCATGCATACAGCCAGCTACTGGAATCGTATAGGTCATTAACCCTTGGCTATATGGCAGAAGCGTTTGGTGTTGGTGTGGAGTTCATCGATCAGTAAGTTAATACCTTGTTAATTTGTGTTTTAAAGTAGCCTTTTAGTGTGTGAACTTGTTCATTTTTTTACCTGTTTGCATTGCTTCCCTCAATTATGGAAAAAAACAGTATTGTTTTTCTTTTTTTTTGAGTTGGAGTCTCACTCTGTCGCCCAGACTGGAGTGCAGTGGCCGCTCCCGGCCACCTTCGGGATCCTTCTGGTGGGCTCCGGCGATCCTTCTGCCTCAGCCTTCCAAGTAGCTGGAATCACAGGCGTGCGCTACCACACCCGGCTAATTTTTTTGATTTATTGTAGAGATGAGGTCTCGCCAAGTTGCCTGGGCGGGTCTCGAACCTGCGGGCTCAGGCAATCCACTCACCTCAGCCTCCCAAAGGCGCGGGATTACAGGCTGAGCCACCGAGCCTGGCTGTTTTTCTTAATATAATTGAAATAGTCGTATCTGTCACCTCTGCCTTCCTTATTATCTTACCCTTCAATTAACAGATGGGAATGCTGAGTTGTAGTAAGGTTAAGTGATCTGTTAAAGTTCATTGGACCAGTTGTTATCAAAAGTAGTCTTCTATTTCCTGGTGGAACGCAGTACAGCTACAGTAACTTATACCTTCGATCTCTTTTATTCTACAACTAGTCATATTCCTTCTGATAATTCCAATTTTCAGGTTGCTGCTGCAATTGTGGTCAAATTGGTTGTTAAATGTGGGGCTTTTTAGCACTATTCTACAAATGCTTAATGAGTCATGACTGTATGTTTAGTATTGACTCCCTCTACACAGACTTTCATTGTAGTAGTAGAGGAGAGATGCCAAGTAAGCAAGAAATATAAGAGGTAACTTCAGATAGAAATGTGTCTGTGGAGATAAGAGATAAGAAAATGCTATAATGCTATGAGAAACTAACTTAGATATGGCATGTCTGAGATTTGAATTGAGGGGAGTCAGCCACATGGAGTTCTCTAGATGTAGAAAAGGGAATAAAAAAGCCCAAGGCTTTGAGCCAGAAACAAGCTTGGACTGCTATAGGAACAGAAAATGCAAGTGCAACATTAGCATAGTCAGGAAGGGGCAGGGAACAACAGCCAATTGTGAGTTGAGGTTGGAGAGTTAGGCAGGTGATAACTTGTATAGGGCCCTAGGTCATGGGATAGAGCCTGAGTTTTAATCTAGGTGCTATTAGAAACCATTGGAGGCTTCTGATGGATGACATGGCCTCATTGTGTTTTATTTATACAGAGCCAGGGGTCAGAAAGATCAGTGGTACTATTCATTAGGTCATGGAGGAGACATTATTGTGGCTTGGACTAGGGTAGTAGAAGTGAAAATGGGAAGAGACATTCACAATATATGATGTCCATGTGTTACATAGACGAGTGGTTCCCAAACTTTAAATCTTTTAAATGTTCATGATGTGGTTTTCATAGGTCCGTGATGAAAACAAGTGATGGCTATTCAGTAATTTTAAATGAGGTTACATTTCATTTACATAAGACCATTATTTTTTAAACTTTCCCCGTTTTATTGTGACAAATTTAAAACATACAACAAATTCTAAAGAATTATACAGTAAGTTTTAACATTTTGTTATATTTGCTTATCACATATTTATCCATCTTAGTTTTTTTAACCACCTCCAAGTAAATTTGAGGCACCAACACATTTTTAAATGATCCTAACCAAAACACAGGGCTGGTTGGTATTCTTAGGTTCTGTTTCATTTCTGAATTGAACTGGTTTGTGAAATCAAAGTCTGATAACCACTGCCAGAGAGGGTTGTTTATTAGGATGGGGGCTGGCTATTATGAATGTGTTTCTCATGAGTCAATGGAAGGAGTGGAGAGCAGTCCAAAAGAAACAGAGCTTGGCCTGGCTTCTTGTTCCAGCTCTGTGGCCTTGGTTAGGTTCTGTCCTTTCTTCAGTTAACTGTGATGTAGAGATGATAAAGCCTTCACTAGTGTTGAGTGCATTGCAAAGCTTAAATGAAATTGTGGGTAAGGAAAAGCACTGAAGCCAGAAAGTATCATTTAGATACCACATTATTCTTCAACTCACTTGATGACAAGTGAGTTCAAGGCAACTGGTACATTTCAGGTAGTATTTGACTGGGTTTTTTTCTTCATGTTCTAAGATCAGTTCTAGAGGCAAAGGTGGTGAGCTCTAGTTGTTACCTTAAAAGACCCGGATTCAAATTTCTGTGATACCTAAGAATTTCTTTTTGTTTTTTTTGAGTTGGAGTCTCACTGTCGCCCAGACTGGAGTGCAGTGGCTGCTCCTGGCCACCACAGCCTCGACCTACTGGGCTCCGGCGATCCTTCCGCCTCGGCCTTCCAAGTAGCAGGAACTACAGGCATGTGCTACCACACCCGGCTAATTTTTTGATTTATTGTAGAGATGAGGTCTCGCCAAGTTGCCCGGGCGGGTCTTGAACCCGCGGGCTCAGGCAATCCACTCACCTCAGCCTCCCAAAGTGCGGGATTACAGGCTGAGGCACCGAGCCCGGCTCTAAGAATTTCAAGTTTGAGTTTTCATAGATTCTTTTTCCCTCTTTTAAAAATGTACATTGTGGGTGAAATCTTTTTCTTAAAAAGGGCTAAGCAATAATTCTACATAATTTCTTCCCTCCCACTTCCTCAGACTCAGTATGCTATTGGAGAGGAACAGGGCCATAATTTCAGTAAATAGCACTACTGTTGACATGTTTACATATCCATAGGCTGTTATCTTGTCTTAAGTCTTTTGAAACAATTTATTACTTTATTAGTTTTATCAGCTTTTTCACTAATCTTGTTATATTCCTAGCTTAAAAGTTTTTCTCTGTGTACTTCTGTAGCTCTCTTAAAGACACTATACAGGCCAGGCACGGTAGCTCACGCCTATAAACCCAGCACTTTGAGAGGCCAAGGTGAGAAGATTGCCTGAGCCCACGGGTTCAATACCAGCCTGGGCAACTTGGCGAGACCTTGTGTCTACAGTAAATTTAAAAATTAGCCGGATGTGGTGGCACGTGCCTGTAGTTCCAGCTACTTGGAAGGCTGAGGTGGAGGGATCACCTGAGCCCAGCAGGTTGAGGCTGTGGTGGCTGTGGGTGTGCCACTGCATTCCAGCCTGGGTGAGAGAGGGAGACTCCAACTCAAAAAATAAAAAACAAAAAGACAAGATATGAATGGTTTCATTGTTTGACACTTAATGTTTCATGTGAATATGAATTTCTAGGGTCATGTTTGTTCTGGTAGATGCCTTAAATCCTTTAGTACACCAGGGATTGATTGCTACGTTGCAGTAGCCCAGGCTTGAAAGGAAATTGTTATCTTGAAAGACAATTTTAAGATGATTGTAAAATAGTTTTTTAGTGCAGTCTGTATTTTTCTAGGAATTCTCTATAAGGTTAATGTTGGTATATTTTTCTCTAAATTAGGGAACTCTCCAGATTTATTGCTGCTGGGAGACTACACTGCAAAATAGATAAAGTAAACGAAATAGTAGAAACCAACAGGTACTCACATTTTGTGTATCATTTGTTATACTGCTCAGAATAAGAGGCATTCTTATGTACCTTCTTTTATTGTCATGGAGTAATGTGACTGGTAAATAATTCATTTTTTCTTGAATTTATTTATAGACCTGATAGCAAGAACTGGCAGTACCAAGAAACTATCAAGAAAGGAGATCTGCTACTAAACAGAGTTCAAAAGCTTTCCAGAGTAATTAATATGTAAAGCCATGTAACAAAGGATTTCCTTTAGAGATAATTATTGGGAATTTTTATAGCTTACTTCACTATGTGCTCACTTCAGCTGTATAAAATAAATATTGCATTGTTGTTTCTTCCAATTTTTTTCTTAAACACATATGCCTTTAAGAATGAGGTCCACCAGTCTGGGCAACAGAGTGAGACTCCAACTCAAAAAAGAATGAGGTCCAGTAATGTTAAAATAATGTCACTTGAGTTTTGCATTAATGAAAAATATTTTGTCATTTGAACCCCTCTGGTTTAATATGGTATAATGGTTATAGTCAGAGACTTTAGTACCTGGGTTCAGATCCTGACTCTGCCTCATCAGTAAAATAGGGATAATGACACAAGCCCAGGTATCTCTTACCTTGAAATCTCTTGACCACTTGATTTTAGAAAGAAGAGTATACCCTGTATTATAAGCGCAAAATTAAAGAGTGTTTCCCACTTAATATACAAAAGACAGACGGTAACTAAAATGTATAATAAATGTTCTCTCAGAAACAAGTGACCATATGAGACAGAATGTTTCCTTTTTAGGAAGCTGGTATAATCTGGATTCCACAATCCACAAAGGTCAATCTCACTAAACATAGATTAAAAAAATATATTAAATTAATATTAAATATTAGTAAATTCAATCTTATTTTCCCCAAAACAGGACCATAGCAGAAATAGCAGTAAGGAAAACAAAGTTGTCCTTTTGTTTGTCTCCCAATTATAAACTCAGTGAGTCAGACAGGGATAAATGCTATAAAAGAAAAATATAAAACCAGATAAAGGGGAAAGAGTGAAATAGGGTGTAAAGGGCTCTCTTCTATGGGGTGTTGTAGAAGGCCTCTTGTAAGGTGACATTTCAGTAAAAAGGAGGGGGCTATGCCATGCAAGTTATCTAGGGGAAGAAAGAGACGGAGATTTTAAGCAGAGGAATGACCTGATTTGACTTACCTTTTAAATGTCACCATGGAACGTAGGTAGAGGGGGCACCAGATGATGGTGGTGTGGATTGTAGAAGCAGCTGGATTTTCTAGAAGATTAGAATGGGGGTGAGAGGAGGTGCAAATTTTGTTAAGGGAGATCTCAGGTAGCTGGTGACGAGCAGTTTTGGTAGACTCAAGTTAAAAAGAGAATGGGAAATGGCATGCTACTGTAAAGGGCAGGAGAAGGAATGAGTTCAGGTTGTTTAAAAAAATTTGTTTTTTAAGTGCTTGTTTATTTGCTGATGGCAATGATCAATTAACATACTAGAGGAAAAAATATCCCATTTTATTAAAATAAATTTATACAATTAAACATTTCTTCATGATAAATAAAAACTCTGGTAAACTATAAATAATAGGAAATCAGAGCCCTATCACAAACATGACACTTAATGACAAAATACTGTAAGCATTATCTTAACAGTTATGACCGTGCTATCATCACTAGGAAGAAGGACCACTGGTTATGTGCCAAGAAAAAGAATGTGGTCACAGCTCTGCTTTGAAAGGAGTTTCCTGTAGGCACTATTGATGGGAGGTTTTAAAAATGCTGGGTATCCCTAAAGCAGTTGAGAATAGCCACCTGTAGATTTCTAAAAATGCTTATCTATAGAACCTTATTAATGATCACTGACTTCTTGAAAAAAGCTCGGTTTTTCAATTTTGGTTTTCCACAGAAAACCAAAGCTAGTCAGGATTGTGAAGGAGGCTTCTGGATGCTACAAAGTTGCATATTGGTCACCCACAGGCTGAAACTCAGGACCGGCACTCCAAAGTGGCAAGCATGTATTCTCCAGTGTGCCCCTGTCCACTCATGTACACTACCTAGCCGCCTGGCCCTCACTGGCATTTGAGTTTGTTATCCTTGCCTTATCCTGATACTGTATATGTGAGCTTGATGGTCAGTAGCCTCCTGTATCACTCAGCTAGAAGAATTGACCCAAATAGTCCTCAATCTTCATCCTACCTCTGGTAGCTTCAATTTATATAGCCTGTTTTTTGAAAGTCTTAATTTTCTGGTTTTAATTAAGAAGGGTGCATCACAATATGAAAGTCAGATTATCATCAAATGATAGTTTTATTTGCTAAGTGACATACAACTAAAACAATTTAGTTTATTTTTATTGTTGGTGAATGTTTTCTTTTGAAGTTGGAAACTATCACTTTTACCAGCCCTGGTCTCATTCATCATAATACACTATCCTAGTATGAAATGGAATCACTGGGATGAATTATCTTTATTTTTTTAAAGTAATGTCAGTTTCTCTTACCTCAATAAAATGTGATTATATATCAAATGTATCCAGTAAGATAAATATTTTTAAGCTATGTCAAATTGTGGTAATCTATTTCCTATATTAAAAATAAGTGCTTTAGATCAATTTTTAACTTATTAACTAGCAGTGTCTTTTAGGAATAGAAAGAAAGTCTAAAAACCACTTTGTGAAGTATCTGCACCCAACCTTTACCTGGCCCAAATGGCTACAAGGATGTCTACAATTTGATTGTGAGCATGTCTACTGCAATATACTGATTCTATGACTAAACACATTTAATCCTTAGTAACCTGACCAAGCATCATTAATTGGCCAACAGAAGGTTACTAATTATTGTCGAATTGTATAGTTTCATATTCTGAATTAAGTTTGGTGCTGTTAACTGTTTTTAAGAGGATGAACAGCTGACACTTGAAGTATTATCTACCTCATGATTATGGGAATAAAAGGTGGAGGGAACTGTGATAAGCTTTCCAGATGCTACACAAACTTGTAACTATTAGTAACAGACTTCATACCTCCACACTGGTAATAGGGAGTGAGGTAAAATCCCTAACAAGTAACCCTGAAAAAGCTCTAATAATCACTAGTTTCAGTTTCAAAGTCATAGAGCCACAGATTTCCATTATTCTTGTGTTTCTGAAGAGATACAAAAAAAGAGTATCAAGAATTTGTAGAAGTCTGGTCCAGGCCATTTTAACCCTGAGGTACACAGTCAAGGGGGAGATCTGACTTTCATTATTTAGACATCTCTTATAATGGCATAATTCTCCCAGTAAAGATTGGGTATAAGACATAAAAGGGAATTTGCCAAGGAACGATTAGCCTTGAGTCCAGCCATTATATATCACCTTTCCATACTGACATTCCCTTAGGGAACTGACCAATTAGTCAATCAAGACTGCCAGTAGGTGGCACCCTGACAAACGTTCCTTTCAGAAGTGACTAGAGACCTGCTTTTCCAAAGTACTGTATATATAATTAGTACAGTATCAGTGTTGGAGAACTCTATTCCAGGTGTTCTGAGGACTCTGCTTTTCTTGAAACCCTATGGGTTAGAGGCTGCTCACATACACCTCAGGAGCTTGGGGTCAAGATGAAGTCCACTGTTAAGTCCCTTGCTCTTTTTCCTGGCCATTGTGTTTCCACCCTCATATAAAATGCCTTCTCTCTGAAACTACTTCCCACCCAGCAACACCACCAACTCACTGTCCCCAATCACAGACCTCTGAGTCACTCCCGCTCCTCCATCCAGTTTATGCCAGACCTGAGTGGCTAGTTCAGTCTTCCTCTCAACCTTAACTACTTTGAAACACATGACCTATACAATACCCTCAAGCCACACAGTTTCTTTCTTAGCCTTAATTCCAGTGCTTTTCCCCTCCATGCTACTTCCAACCACTGCCAAGGTCTCACCCAGGGATTACAAGGACCTCTGAACAGCTTGGCTTTTGAAAATGACACCTGGGAGGCCAAAGCAGGAGGACAAGCCAAGGAGCCAGCCTGGGTAACATAGCGAGACCGTATCTCTACAAAAGAAAAAAAAGAAAAAAGAAAAAACCAGTCAGGCATGATTGTGCATGTCTGTAGTCCCAGCTACTTGGAAGGCAAAGGTGGGAAGGTTGCTTGAGGCTGCAGGGTGCTGTGATCATGCCTCTGCACTCTTAACCTGGGTGACAGTATAAAACCTTGACTCTTAACCCTTTGTACTCAGATGTCCCCTCTGAGGGAACACCATAAATCTAGCAAACTTCTCAAATCTCTCAACTGCCCCCTCAGGGGACATAAAGAGATTGTTGGTGACTATACAGAACAAACTTAGGCCACTGCAAAAATTTTCAAAACCGTGTTTCCATTCAAATTGCACAAAAAAGCAAATAAAAAGATGGAATATATACTGAGATATACATTTAAAAAAATCAGCTGGCATGGAGAAAGAGAACATGTGAAGTGCTTTTACAGTGGTATACAGAAGGAAAAACACGAGACTACATTGTCTGCTCGAACAGAAAAACACCAGCTGGAAGATGTCAAACAAATTACTATTGCACAACATGTATCAATGACCCTACAATGCATGTCACTGTTTCACACATTACCACACGTTAGAAAAATATATAAAATTTTGATTTTTTTTGTCATAAATAACTTCTTCAATGTCCAAAATTTCATTATAAGCCAAATATCATTACAATAAATGAGCTGGTTCCAATGCTATATTATTTTAAATGAAGTGACTTGTTTTTCACTTTCATAAAAACGTGGTCATGTTGCTGCTGGTAGGTGATCCACAAGATAGACGTCTACAAGTACAAAGGGTTAAAAAAAAGGATGAAAATGACACCTAGAATTCCTATTCTTCCATTCCCTGGCCTATTGCTGAAAGTCCTTGGATGACAGTGGTCTGTGGATCCTGGCTTGTATGTTAGCCCGCCATGTTATCGGCCACAGTGAATTGCACATAGACTTTGATCTGTGGCCTTGAACAAGTCAGTTGTCTAATCACAGAAAAAGTAACCTGGAGGATCAGAAGACTTAACAAAAAGATAATTCCAATGAAACCATTGTCTTAAGAGTGCCTGCATAGATTTTTACATGGTAGGCTTCTAGTTCTCTTCCTTGAATACCCAATCCTGATCACCATCAGTCCCTTGGCATCTTCACTCATACTCTAATTTTTTACTTTGGCAATCTCTCTGCTCAAGTTCTAACTTCCACATAACCAATACCCACTGTTCCAATTATCCTGGAGAAAGAAGCCTGTGAATAAAACAATACCTAAGTGGACTGATGGCATTGATAATTATAACAGATTCAACTCTAAACCAACTCATCTCATCC